GTAGGGAAGCTGCTTGAATTTGCCGGTCACTGTTGTCATATCTTGCCTTCTTATACCACCGGGTAAGAGAGGGTACTGTGCAGGTGATGGTGGCATGATAGAGGACTGTGAAAGCGGCAGTGTGTTCCATTTAGGACTTTGAACGTAGAAATTTAGTTTAGAGCGTCTGAGATTCTATGCAACATGCCGATATTTGCGAAATATTAATACTCACTCGCTAATCAGCATTGAGTAAGGTGGTAATACTTATTAGCATGTAGCCTATTCTCAAGTCATTGTAGTCAGGACAGGATGCCACCTTTTTAACGAACTTCTTCCTGCCCACTTATAAACTTTTTGTTCTGTTAAAGTAATGGCTACTTAAGCAGGATGCATTCTTCTCGTTGATTTTAACTTCCTTTATAAATCCAAACTTTTTTATGGAAAATATACAAAAAAGGTTCTTCCTTGTAGTAACTTGGTAACAAAGTACGGTTTCTTTTAATTTCGTAACTTAAGAAAAGGTACTTTTAGCTTTTAAAAAATTATAATTATGTGAATCTTAACGATTGTGAGTAGTTCATTCACAATTCGTCGTATCTGTCAATTTATTAATGCTGCCTATAATGCATGCCGGATGATCCACATAAAATGCAATATTTTATGAGAATTATGTGACTTCTCCCTCAAACCGCAAGCAATAAAAACACACTTTTCTAAACAGTACGTACACAGTGTAGAGTTTGTAACCCTTGAATTCAGGTGTAGCGGTCGGCAGGTTTCAAAAGTATTCGGCAATTAATAAAAAAAATGTTAAAACCGAAAGATACCTTTTATTTAAGTACACAGTTTAAAGAAGGCGTAATTTGCGACCAAACAATTACAAGAAAGAGTTTTTCGTGCATGTTTTTCATAAAATATATTTGAATTTATGAAGGCAGTCAAAATCAATAAAAAAAAGTGCATACTAGATAAGTAGCTATTTCTTACTGTACATACGTTTTTGTTAGCGATCAGAAGGAAGTTCACTAAAAGGCCGGCATCATATAGTGAGTGAAATGAATCAAGAAATGGCTATAAGATAATCAGTAGTGCAGCCTTATATAATGCCGATTAGCGAGTGAATAGCAATACTTCGCAAATGTCGGCATACTGCGTGAATTCTGAGCCGTACTGTATGTGTTCATTTGCGACACATTCCCCTTGCTCTTACATTTACAAAGGTTTCCGCTATCGGAATAATACATCCTCTATCAGGCAGATCCGTGGCAGCTGTTGGGTTTTTATCCCTTTAAACAGCAATGGTTTACAGCTTGTGACGGGGGGCAACTTAATGAAATGGATAAACGCATCGGCTCAAGTTTGTACGAACATAAATTTGCAATTAACCGCCGCAAGGAAAGGCTTTATCTAGTCTAGGACTGTATGGAATAGGTGAACTGTAGTTTCTCCTGTAAGAAAGAAAAGCTAATCGACTGAATCTATTAGAAGATGCCTATGTCTGCCCCCGCCTAGCAAGCGCTACGCACAGGGTTTAGATCGGAGCAGAGAGAGCCGAGCTGGCTATCAAAATACCGCCTCAAACACAAACCAACGATATCTAATGGTTGATCAATAATGCTCAGTCGTCATTGCGGCCGCTTGCGACGGCCAGGTTATTTGGAAGTTTGGAAGTTTGGCGGTCTGCTTGGCGTAGACCCTCCAGAATAAAGATTTCGTGTATAGTGGCATGGAAGAACAGTACGGCTCAGGCTTCGTGCAAAATGCCCACATTTGCGAAAGATTGATGCTCACTCGCTAATCGCCATTCAGTGAGGTTGTAATACTGATTACCCTGTAGCCTATTCTCGATTCATTTCAGTCACTTTATGATCCCGGCTTTTTAACAAGCTTCTTTCTGACTGCTAATAAAATGTATGTTCTCTTAAAAAATGGCTACTTAAGTAGTATGGGTTCTTACCGTTGATTGTGACGGCGTTTATAAATTCAAATATATTTCATGGAAAACATGCACGAATAAGTTCTTTCTTGTCTTCGATTGGTAGGAAATCATGCCTTCTTTAAATTTCATACTTGAAGAAAGGGTGTCTTTTTGGTTTTGAAGAAAATTCTTTAAATTGCCGAATAACTTTGAAACCTACTGACTGCTTCACCTGAATTCAAGGTTTACAAACTGCACGCTGTGTATATCCTTTATAAGGAAAAGTACGTTTTGCCTACTGTTTGCGAGAGGAGTTACATAGTTCTCATAAAATGTTGCAATAGGTGTGAATCATGCTGCGCACGCGATAGACAGCATTAATAAATTGACAGATACCATGATTTATGAATTAACATCTCACAATCATAAACATCAAGGGATACCTTTTTTTAGAATAAAACTAAAAAGCGACGCAATCGTTTTTACAGACCGAGTACTCGAAAAAAACTCTTTCGAGTATGTTTTCCATAGAGGGCTCTGGAAGGGATATTTTTTACACTTTTTTAAAACTATAGCACAGTGTTTATTCAAAAGTTTGGCTATGTCTTAATTTATAGCATTGGAAATTCCTTCGATATGAGATGACTCCCAATTTCGCCAAAATTAATGCATATCTCCCCTGAATAAACATAACTAAAAGGGCAGTAATTCTAACGAGAAGGTTTTTCCAGGCTTACATGCACTCAGTGAATCAGAATAACGTGAACGAATATATGCTAGAATACCAATTCAAATTTGATGCACGATTTGTGGGTTATACTGTATAGTTAAATTTATGAAGGCGGCCAGGATGAATGATAGATATGTATCCTACTTAAGTAGCCATTTTTGACAATGCATAATTTTTGTTAGTGGTCAGGAAGAAGTTCGTAATAAAAGCCGGCATTATATCGTGACTGATATGACTTGAGAATACGCTACGCGGCCATCTATATTACAAACTTACTCTATGCCGATAAGTGAGTGAATATGGATCTCGCACAAATGTCGGCATGATGCACGAATTCTGAACCGTACTGCTGCCTTTTAGACGTCGCACTTAAGCATATTGACCCGGGTTTTATGCTTGCAACTTACAGTAGCCGCCGAAGACCATGCAACGCTAATTATGAAATTTGCATGGACACTTTGGCAT